GGCCTTTGACCCACGGGGGATAGAAGACAGTAGGAAAGGACTTCTCTTTTTCAACCCTCAGGATAGTTTTGAGGTGCATGTCATAAGGCTCCACAGAACATTCTGGAAGAACCGTGATGGTGCATCCTTGCATGGGCCTTCCCTACTTCCCTGTTCCACAGCCATCCCTCATTCTTACCCCCAAATGAACTTCCTGCACCCAGACATTTGTCAGACTCCGCATTCAGGTTGGGGGAGGATCCCTGGGTCCCCCTCTTACCCTGCCCCCCTCCCCTGTGTCCTACCTGTGCCTGACAGTCATCTCTCTCCTGAATCACCCACCACTTGTGTCTGTACAGTGCTTCGTGGGCGGCAAGGGACATTCCCAGGCCTGGCCTTGTTTCGAGCTGCACATTCGATTTCAGGGTGAAGAAGAGGAAATTCCAGTTCAAGGCCCCACTCAGGGCCGAGCAGCTTAATAAATGGTCAAGACTAACGGCGGACTCAGGCTAACTGCAGCCCAGCTCTCGCCCTGCTCCAGCACGGCTGCCCCCAGTCAGCCTCTCGCAAAGGCAGGAAGCACCTCTGATTGCTAAGCATGCACGTCGTTCGGAGCCACAAGTTTTGTGGTGAAGGGCGCTCCTGTCAACGTCCTCTCTTTTTTTTTTCAGAAGTCAACACGCCCTTGTCCTCCTGGGGGCCGCGCTGTTCTTGGCATCTTTCTCCGCCGCTGCTCTGCTCACCCTGGTTTATGACCTCCCGGTGGCGGCTCCGTCGGAGGCAAGGTACCCGCGGCTCCCAGCCCGCGCTGCTCTGTCCCTCGCCTGCCCCGGGAACGGCCAGGGCCTCCCAGGCAGGGCCGCTGTTGGCACTGTGCGAATCGGCTCCTGGAAAAACCGGGTGGGAACTGGTGGGCCTGGTTGAGAACGGTTTCCAAAATTTCGAACCCTTCAACCTGCGCTGGGGTCTTCTCTGAAAGTACAGGGAACTCACCGCTGCCCATTGAAATGCTTCTCGGAGGAAAGGAGCGCCCCCACGTGGCTGTATTTTGTCGGTCCTCCGGGGCGAACTGCCGCTTGCAAGCGCTGTTATGCGGAGAGGCCGAAATGTAAGGAAGGTGGGGTTACCCCTTCAAGGTCACACGCCTAGGCTGTGGCATAGGTGTGAGTTGAACCTAGGAGCTTACCCACTATGCTGTTTTGCCTCCCCAAATGATGGATACATAACATTCTTCCTTATAACCCTGCTGTGTTACACAGGGAAAACTGGTGAGATTTCCCATTCATCGATTGTCAGTGCAGCGGTTAGTGACACAAATGAAAATCGAACCCTGTGAGTCATCTGCTCAAATTGGTCTCAAGGTAGAATCCCTGTCTGACCTCTGGTATCCCTCCCCTGCTTCTGCCTCTGGCCCAGCCACACTGGCCTCCTTCCTTCCACACCCAGCATGCTCCTGCCTCAGGGCCTTTGCACCTGCTCCGCCCACACAGGAGAATGCTTTTCCTTTAGAATCTAGATCTTGGCAGGGCTAGCTCCGTCACCTCCTACAGGTGTCTGGGCATATGTCACCTTCTCGGAGCAGCCTTCGCGGACCTCCTGGTGTAAAATAGTCCAGAACCTTGAGTGACACAAAAGTGCTCAAAGTGTATTGTGAGTGGACTACATGAATGAATGAATGAATGAATGAATGACTACATCCTGGGTCTTTTGACAAGGGAAGCCTCGTGCCCTTCTCATCATGTCATCAGCTTCTGTGGGCTTAGGAGCACAGCCAGGTGACTGAAAAGGAGGCTCACTCCTGCCTTGCCCAGCGGTTCTCAACTCCAGACACACTTGAGAGTCACCTGGGGAGAGTTTAATTCCCAGGGGTGCTTCCGTCAAGCACCGTTCTGGACCAGTTGAATCAGAATCTCCAGGGGTGTAGCCCACGCAACTGAATTTGTAAGAGCTTCCACAAAGAGGTCACTTCTGGGAAGCACATTTTTAGGGCTGTCCTGACATATCAGCCACCAGAAACAACTATTTGAAATGAATGCAGTGATCATATCTCCTTGGGATCCAGGATGGAGGGGCCCAGGGGAATTTGGAATTTTAGGAAGCCCACTGCGGTCCAAGGCAGAATCTTGAGGTTGCTGTCTGGGGATCATTACCGAGGAAAAGAACACATGTATCCCCAGTTTTCCTTTGGGTTTGCTGATTGCCCTCCAGTGGACATCTGAGGGATCCCCCTTTTCCACGTCCAGATCAAACGTGACCTTTGGCTTTATGCCCTTGTGTCTTTCAGTGAAAACGCAGCCGGGTTGTATTTCTCAGAGTACTACACCAAGCCCTACTGCCGACTCGGGCCGTTCCTCGTGGGCCTCTTTCTGAGCATTTTCATGCACCAAAACTACCAGGCAAACATCCTGAAAACCAAGGTAGATGGTTTCCCCATACCTCGTTGTAAGGGCTGGGTCTGCTTGGGACTGGACTCGGAGTTGGACCGCGTTTGGCCAAGCTCTTCCAAAGCCATGGGCAGGAGTCAGGCTTCCGGGTACTTTGTGCTGTGATGTGTGAGCAATGGCTCTTGGCACTGAAGGTAAGAGGAACCTTGTCTTCTTGCCAGAGCCTGACTCTCTGCTTTCTCACTGAGCTCCCCTAAGAAAGCTCCAGATCTGGAACCCAGAACTGGAGCCTTGGGGCAGACTCAGAGAAATCACTGAAGCGGGAAAATGCACCCAAGGAGACTGTGACGGCAAGACCGTCTTGCAGAAGGTCATGGCTACGTGGGTTGGATTTTTAGTAGTACAAACTCTTTGGTTTCTAGAGATCAGATTCTTGGTTAGTAGTTCAGGTTCGTGGTGCCAAGGGAGAAAATGGGTGTGAGCAGAGGGGAAAACCTAAGATGGTGATGGAGCATTTGGGAAGCACTCTGAGGACCAGGTCAGGACCAGGGGGCATGCAGCTGGAACACAAGGCAAGCTGAGCTGGAGAAATGACTTAGAAGGGACGAGGAGGCCAGACTTTTAGGAGCCAGAAAATAAGGTTGCAGAGTCCCCGCTGGGGGAAGCTGGGGCACAGTCCGAGTGCTGGGAGTAAGAAAAAGGGGTCCTAGGTGGAAAGAGGGGCTTGCAGAGAGCCCCCAAGGAAGTACCTCTGTTCCCTGTGGCCAGAACCGAGGGCAGGAACCACAGACTCAAGGAGGGGAGAGCTTCTCTTTAAAGACAAGATGGTAGATGATAAGGTGCTAGTTCAGTTCAGCGTTGATGGCATCATCGTGCCTTGGGAATTGGAACAGAGAAGGAAGAGAGACCCTTGGAAGATAGGTCTGGGTCTAAAAAAGTCAAGTAAGGTGACATAAGATCTAAAATCTTGAACTGAGCCCAATAGTTTAACTCACGGAGCTACTCTTTGGGCTGGAAACTTCTCTGTTCTCCTATTTCTTCCACCATTTTATGTCCCCAGGAACAGGGGGACTCCAGGGACAGGCTGTGAGCTGGGGTCCCACACATTTATGGTGGGGGTACAACCAATCAAGGGGCCTTACTTGGTTAGGGAACAGAATGGGAGGTCAGGAGTGGTGGGGGTGGGGTAGAGCATTACCTTTTCTTTTTCTTTTAACTTTCATCTAAAAATTATTCACGATGCACTGCAAGTTGCAAAAACAGCACAAGAGGTCCTGTATACCCTTGACCCATGTTTCTCCAGCAGTAACATGTTACGTAACTACGGCATGTGATCACAACCAAGACATTGACACTGGCATAATCTGTAGACCTCAGATCCGCCAGTTTCCTGTGCACTCATTTGTGGGTGTGTAAAATGTTGTGTGATTTTATCACATGTGTAGATTTGTGTAACCACCACCATCAAAGTGCAGAACTCCTCTGCCACCACAATGATTACCCTTGTGCCACCTCTTCATGGTGGCACCCCGCTGTCCTCTACCCCACCCCAACTCCTTGTGACCACTAATCTGAACTTTCTGTCTCTGCCAAATTCAGGCGCTGATTGAGGTTTACAAACAGACACCTAGAGAGAGAATAACGACACGCACAAGTCAGCTAGTGTGAAAGGAAGTAAATACACGATGGTCAAAACGGGCTGAGAACAGTGCCCTTCCTTTCCCCGTAGGTGCAGGCTCTGCTGGGATGGGTTTGCTGCCTGTCTGCGCTGTTCCTAGTGGTGGCTCTGGCGTACGTGCTGGACGACACCTCCGTCTCCTCTCCAGCGGCCGCTGCTGGGTACCAGGCCCTCCATCGGACCCTGTGGGCGGCGGCTGTGGGATGGATCTTGTTTGCATGTCAGGAAGGCTATGGAGGTACGTGCAGCCATGCAGCACGGGCCTTGTGGGGGGAAAGGCGACCGTGTGTCCGGACCGGACTGTAGTGTCCGCAGAGAGACTTTTATTTGCTGCTGAATGACTGCTGTTGACTCAAAAACAGCAATTTGTCTATATACTCAGGGAAAACCGCCCACCTATTCTGGTTTAGATTATTAAGCTGGTTTATATACAATTGCAGGTTCTGAAAGGAAAACCTGCAGCCTCTCCAACGAAGCTAGTATAGAAGTTGGAGGAGAATAAGCAGGGTGATGTCGCGAGAAAAAAATACCACTGCTGGGCTCAGCATACCGGCCACACCCACCCTGGGCCTCGGTGTCCTCATCTGAGGGTGCAGACTGAAGAGCTGCCAAGACCCCCTTCAGCCCTTTGTTGCGTACTTTTTTTTTTAAAATGGAGGTACTGGGGATTGAACCCAGAACCTTGTGCATGCTAAGCAAGTGCTCTACACCCTTCCCCACCCTGCCTTCAGCCCTTTGATAGCCGGGGACACTTTCTATTGAGCACAGTTTTCAATGTCTGGGAAGTCAAGCAGAAAAAGAGCTTAATTGGAAAAAAAGTGATCTTCTCCAGATGAAAGATGTCTGTTCAAGTTACCTGACTTTTTTTTTTTCTGCTTTCTCCTCTATTTGGCATGAGATAGGACTGGGTGCTTACAGCAAATGACAGAATAAATTTCTGTTGTTTCAAGTCACCATGGAAGTCACCATGTTTGTGCAACTTGTCACAGCAGCCCTAGGAAATGAACCCAGAGCCGTATTAAATAATATAATTTCAGATGCAGATAAATATGTTAAATAAAAATAAATGAGGGATGAGGGGGTAATTGGATTAAGGGTGCATTTGCCAATGGGTGGCACAAAAGCATTGCAGGCAGAGGGCTGCTGAGGCAGAGTTCTCCAGGCTGGAAGGTGCTTAATGGGTGGGAGGAACAGCAAGACCAGTGAGACACGGATCAAGGAACAAGGAGGGAGAGAGATGGGAGTGAGGACAGAGGAGAAGGCGGCGGCCAGATCATGCAGGGCCTTCATGACCACGGGGAAGAATCGGGGTTTTACTCTAAATGCCATGTGACATGATCTGATTTGTGATTTTAAAAGATTACTCTGGATGTTGCATGGAGACTTTAGGGTAGCAAGAGCAGAGAGACAATCGATCCATTGGGAAGATACGGCAGAGGTCCAGGGAGGAGGAGATGGAAGATGTGATGCAGGTGATAGCAGAGGATTTCTTTTTTCTTTCCGTTTACCTTGAAACAACAGAAATTGATTCTCCCACAGTTCTGCAGGCTAGAAATCCAAAATCAAGGTGTTGGCAAAGTCCATCTGGGAACTCTGAGGGGGGATTCTGCTCCATCCTCTCCTAGTTCCTCCTCATTCCTTTGTTCATCATCCCTTCAGTCTCTGCCTTCATCCTCACATGGCCTTCTCCTGTGTCTCCCCTCTGTGTCTGTGTCTCCTTTTCTGTCTGTTGCAAGGACGTTCATCTTTGGATTCAGGGCCCACCCTAATCCAGGAAGATATCTTGAGTTCCTTACCTTAATTATATCTGCAAAGACCCTTATTCCAAATAAGGCCACCTTCTGAGGTTCCAGGCGGACATAGCTCTTGGGAGACCACTACTCAGTCCGCTGCCGAGAGCCACGGGTCCTATTCAGAGAGGAATTTCTCATTGTATTTCATTTCAGTTTACTTAAATTAAATAGCCAAGTGTGTCTAGTAGCTAGCACATGGGGCAGCCCAGCTGTAGACGATGTACCAAGTTACAGAAGGTACACGGCCTCAGGCCCGTCAATGTTACCGGCCTTGTCCTAAGGCTCGTGTGGTGCACCTTGAACCAGAACCCAGGCAAGTGAGGGACTTCGCACCTTGTTTGATATGTGGAATGTTTTGTGCTCAGTGGTTGAAGCCGCACAAAGGAAGTAAAATGACTGTAAATTCAATGTTAGCGTCTCTTATAATTTTCATATTCCTACAACCGGAAGTTGGAGTTTTTTGTCTTTGTTTGTACATCCTCTTTAAAATTACAATGAATAAAGACCTCCTTAGAAGAAGTCCCCAGACTTAAGTGCAGAACCCAGAGGGAGCAGTGATGTGCAGCACCTTCCCAGGCCCGGGGAGGGCTTGCGGCTCCATGAGTGGGTGCCTGTTCCCTCCAGGTCTGGTGAACCGGCTGCTTTCCTGCCATCCCTGGACTTTCCTGGCCAGCATCAGCTACGCCTGCTACTTGGTGCACCCCATCCTCATCCTCCTCTACAATGGGCTCCAGGAGACGCTGATTCACTACACCGACACCAACATGGTGAGTCTGCCCCGGCTCTCAGCTCTGTCGTAGCATCACGCTTTGTTGTCCCCTGGGACAGAGCAACCCACTGTCTTCCATAGAAGCTGATTTTTTGTTTGTTTGTTTTGTTAAAAGCTTATTGTTCTTTGCTTTATTGGAGGGAGAGGTTCAGCACAGGATAATATCTTTCTTTTTCCTTTATCTTTAATGTTTGGGATGTTTGTCTTACTGATCCGTTTCATACAGCCCAGATGATATACTTTAAGACCCAAACACACTAGGCACCTGGTGGTAAGGCTGTGTGCACTCCGCCCCTCTTTCTCTCCAGTTCTATCTTTTCTCTGGACACTGTGTGCTGACCTTCATCGCCGGGCTGGCCCTGACGCTCTTCATTGAGAAACCATGTCAGGAACTGAGGTGGTGCCTGCTGGGATCAGCGCCTGCAGGGCCATGAACTTCCTGCAAAACCCACAAGTGTGGATGGTGAGCAAAAGCAGGAGTGGCCTCATTTACGTGATGAATGCTAGCGATCCCAAAAGGGGCATGAAACTGATTTTGTGAACGTTTAAGACATACAAGTTCTGTGTTTAATACATAAAAGCATTGTGGGATAATCTGGTAGCACAATAATCACGCTCCAATGTACCTTTTTAGCAAGAAACAAAAACCAAAAATTCCCCCAAAACTGGAGTTTTGAGGTCTCATCTTTTACGTTTTTTCTATCTATAAATCTATATATTCTATATATCAGTGGTCATAGGAGAGTATCAAATATGGTGAATTTAATGTACTTTGGGTCATAATGCTCACTTTTCTCAGTAAAATCACAGTATGTCATTTTTCACATCATAACTGTTTCTGTGTTGCTGGGATACCTGTGTAGACTCGCTATCCTGGATGCTGTGACCCACTAGAGTGCACAATTTGTGGATCTGTCGCCATAGGCCTTCCACACGTTATCCGTTTTACAATATAGTCCATGATATGAGTTGGATTGTGTCCCCTGAAAATGATATGAAGCCTAATCTCCCTTAGAAAGCGACCTGATTTGCAGGGAGGGTCTTTACAGAGACAATCAAGCTAAAAGGAGATCATGGGGGTCAGAGGGTGGACGGCCTTAATCCAGTATGGCTGGTATCTGTTACGGGAACCCTAGCAAATGAGTACATTCCTGCAATACAACTTCTGTGGCTTCTGTCCCGACCCCCTCGGTTTCCAGCAATGAGGCCCAGAGATGCGGAGAGACTTTAAGGCCAAGTGGAGAATCTGGACGTCCAGGTTCTCAGGCTTGTCTTCCTTCCTGGGCGTGTAATTTCATGTTAACCATCCCTACTGACATATGTCTGATCTTACCTATAATAACGCTTTTTGTGTACTTAATAGTTGAAGGGTTTATTAACAACCATGAGGTCACCAGGAGCTTATTGGCATGGGACGCTCCCCATCTGTGCAGGCTCTCTTTGCCTTCAAGTGAATTTGCAAGGAAGACCCCTGTGGTCGGGGGAGGGCTACAAACCCCATATCCTTTGACAGGACAGCTGACAGCTAACCTTGTCCTTTTCCAGCCAGCCTTAGGGAGTAAAGTCTCCTTGAGGTCTGGTCTGGTCCGCTAGCAGGATATGACCCGAGTGAGGAGCCAAGGCCCACTCTGATGTGTTCAATTTGTAAAAAAAACGCGCAACATTTTGGCTTTTTGGATAATTGCGAAGTTCACTGAGTTCCTCGGGAGCCCCCTGGTGGCCGATTTGAACCCTCTGGCTTAATTAGGCGATCTTGAGGGTGGGTGGCATTTACAGAAGGAACACTGCACTCCTGGTAGACCCCAGTGGGCGATGACTCGCCTGCCAACATTGCTCGGCAGTTCTGTTGCCAAGAGTTTCTAGTCATGAGGCTGGAAACCCAGGGTCCTTGGAAACAGCCTTCTGGTTATTGACATAGTCTTTGAAAGTTATTATTATTATTTTTTAATAAGATAACAAAGCAAAACCCTCCCCACAACTGCAATTTCATGGAACAAAAAGTAGGGGCAGAGAAGTCCAGTTTTGTTCTGCCTATTATTTCAACCCCAAATTCCCTAGAAATTTAAGATTTATAGAATGTGTGGACCTTATTTGGATTCTGTAACAAACTGTAAAAAAATACGACATTTATGACACAACTGGAAACTTGAGCCCTGCCAAAATATTTGATGATATGAAGGACTTACTAATTTTTTAATGTGATAATGTGTTTTTCAAGTCCTTATCTGTTAGATGCATACTGAAATATTTATGGACAAGATGATATAAAATATAATATTTATGTCACAACAATATCGGGAAGAAGTGGGATAGACTGGCCATTTAGGGATCATTTTGGAAGCTGGTGAGGGGTATATGGGACCTCATTAAACTGTTTTCTCTGTTTTTGTGTATGTTTGAAGTTTGTATTAAAAACAGTCAAACAGATTTACAGAGGCAGCAGGCCTAAGGAGAGTAAGTGTCAATTTATGGGCGTTTTTTTCTAATTCCTCCTAAATCCTGAAATCTGTGTTTCATCCTCACACACCAACCTGTGGATAAAAATAGGTCTGATCAGACTAGGATCACCCCCAGTGGATCTAAGCCCAGCCCTCCTTACATTCCTCCTGATTGGTTTTGGCAGAGACCAGCGATTCCTCGCTTGTCTTGTGAACACCTGGGCTCTGAGATTTCCTTTTTTTATGAACTGGCTCTCCTCAGAGCTGCCCCATCCCTGCTCTCCTGGCCATCAGAACTGGTGGCGGGGCCAGAGCCACCCATACCCTCTCACGGCCCCACCCGACTCTCCAAGGCATGCCGCCTCCTCCCCTGGCTTATCTGTGCGGGATGTGGGCTGGGCTGGGCTGGCTTGGCGCTCGGGCCACTGTGTCCATTCAGAGCACAAATGGTCTCCACAAATGCCACTGCAGATAAATCCCCTCACGCCCACTCATACCATCTGTGCTTTCTCACGCAGGCTTCGACACAGGGCTGCTAGGTACTCATCATGTTTTCATAGAAACTGCTCTGGCAGTTTTTCCTCTTTTTAATGTAAGTCATCTCCCTTGGGTTCACTGAGTCTATGGACGCTGGGATAGGCGGGGTGACCTGAGTGGTAACTGCTTCCTTTCTACATTTGTCCTGTTCACCGGTACGTCTCTACTTCACCAGGTACACGGTAATGGAATCAACCCTCTCTCCCTTTATCCCTCCACTTCCGCTCCCCGGCCCAGTAACCACAAGTTTGTTTTCTATGTCTGAGTCTGCTTCTGCTTTGTAATAAGTACATTTGTCTCATTTTTTTAGATTCCACTTTTAGGTGGTATCATATGGTATTTGCCTTTCTCTTTCTGGCTTACTTCACTTAGTATGACAATCTCCAGATCCATCTATGTTGCTGCAAATGGCATTATTTTATTCTTTTTTATGGCTGTGTAACATTCCATTGTATAAATATACCACAACTTCTTTATCCAGTCATCTGTCGATGGACATTTAGGTTGTTTCCATTTCTTGGCTCTTATATATAGTGCTGCTTAGCCCATTCACTTAAAAAAATTTTTTAAATCAAAGTATAGTCAATTTACAATGCTGTCAGCCCATTCACTTTTAATGCTAATGGTGTTCTACTGTGTGCATGTGGGCCTTAAATGTTCATCCACTTACCAGTTGGTGAGTAGACGTTTGGTTTGTTTCAATTTTTCATTATTGCAAGCATGGTTGTAACCAACTCCTTTTATGTGTCTCCTCATGGAGATATGTTCATTTTCCAGGGTACATAGTCAGGAGCATCATTGCAGGAGTATAAGGTGTATGTATATTCAACCTTACCTGACAACGTCATGCAGTTTCCTAAAGTGATTTTCCAAACTCACACCTCCGCTAGCAGTGGTAGGCTGCCTGCTGTATCCTGTTCTTCCACTGGATGTTAGTCTTCTTCCTGCTGATCCTGAGATGTCCTTTCTGTATTCCAAAGTCTGATCCTTTGTCTCCTGTGTTGCAAATATCCTGGTCTGTGGCAACTTCGTATATGATGTGTTTCATATGCGCGCTTTACATTTTAGAGTAGCTGAAATTATCAGTCCTTTCCTTTTGGCTTGCACCTTTCAGATCTTATCAATGAAATCCATAGAAATATTCTTTTATGTTTTCTCCGTGGGGGAAAAAGACTCCAGTGAAAGTTCCTGATTTCATGCTGCGAGTTCTTTGAGTTGTTTGTAAGGTGGATTTGTAAGGTTAGAGCAGTTCTCTATGGGGTGGGGTGGGGGGTGGAGGTAATTTTGCCCCTCCAGGGGAGGTTTGGCAATGTCTGCAGATGTTTTTGTTGTGAGTAGAAGCCATGGATGCTGTTAAATGTCCTACAATAGCCACCTTCCAACCCTCAGTTGAAGAATTATCCAATAAAAAATGTCAGTAGCGCTCAGGTTGAGAGACCCTTGAGCTAGGCAACAATGGTGAGGATTGCTGTGTTCACACAAACCAGGACTCAAAACTCCTGCGTGGGGAGGACGGAGCGCTGTGCCTGGGGCCGTCAGCACTTAGACAGGTAACACTGGGTCTTTCTGTGCTGAACTTGGTAAATATGCCCCAGCCAAGTGTGGCGAGTCTACAGCAGGGGACTTGACTGAATCCGCCAAACAACCAAATTTTTGCTCTAATCACAATAGGAGGGGGGCAGTGTCGCCACAGGGAGCTTTAATGAGGCTTTATTTCCATGCTAGTGAACCCTAACATGTATTATTTGTATCATGTGCTGTCTCAAAAGGCACATCATATTTTCTGGTCCCAAGAAAGTTATCACTTCATTGTTCATTTAAAAAAATCATGCTCTTCATCTTGAGCTGGTGTCAGTGTGTCTGTTTCTTTCTCTGAAAAAAATGATGGAATTTGACAAGATTACTGGTTCTCAGCAGGACTTCATCAAGGCCTGGGTGGGGAGCTGGTGACAGAGGAACAAGATGGGAGTGCCAGCAGCAGTGTTTGCCTGTGTGGCTGCAGAAAGCCGTACAACTGTGGGGAACAGGAGAAAGCTTTCTGCATTTTGCAATGGATTTGCAAGGCAGAGCTCCTCTTTCCCGGATGGTGCCTTCCCAGCTGGAGTCTAGGAGTTGTGTCGCCTTTAAGGATGGCCTAAATCTCAGCCCCCATCAGAGGGGAGTGGCAGGTTAACACGTGATCTCCAGCCTTCTCTCCAGCTGCCTGCCTTCTCTGTCATGATGCTGATTCCTGGGATGGCAAAGAGGAGGCTGTTAGGGCTCAACCCACTCTGTTCTTGGATGTGAATATTTCTCACTGGAACATCGAGGCTACGCTAACATAGCCTGTGGTTCTCCTGAACTGTGAGGCGCCTTGCAGCTGGGGGGCTATTGCCCCTATGAAGAGATTATCCCTGGGGCCAGTTTCTAGGGAAGAGGATGTCCTAAGACTGGACAGCTGAGCTAAGAGGGCAGTATACTATAGCTGAGAGAGAGAGAGAGACCTCAGATAATTTCCTTTGTTCAAGGCTACATTGTCACAAAGTAGTGAAGGTGAGAATTGCCTGGGGATTTTGATGAAAATCAGGTTCCTGATTCTTACTTATTAGCAACCATAAACAGATGATTCTGATGACCACACTTTAGGAAACACTGATACTGACACAAAAGGCCTGAATATCCCAAAATCTGCTCCTAGGGGCATAGGATACTAAAGCAGTGCCACACATGGAGCGGAATGTGGAAAAGGAAGCCGCTAGGATCGGGAGGCTGCCACCTGCAGACCAGCTCTCTTAGGGTCCTTCAGCCCGAGACCCCTGTAGCTGCACCAGGATACAAGCTTGTTTAGCATCGCACAGCAGCACGCCTTCAGCTGGGGCCTCAGCTCCTTTGGGCTCAGCACAGATGCAACACAAAGGAGCCTCATTTTGCCTCTGCGCAGGGAAAGTTTAGTGCAGGATATCCTCCTGGTCAGCAGTGTGGTACTTAACCTTTCTTTCCCACCCTTTGGGGTTAGGTAAGTAAACTGGTTACAATCCCAAATCTCTCCTCGAATATTAAATCTGTGCCCAGGACACGCGTGCAATCTGAGCTTTGGGAATAACCCCGCAGTCCCATGGTTCCTCCATGTCAGTGACCCTCAGGCTTTTGATTTC